ACAAAATGTTGCTACTGATGGGCCAAGACTGTCGTTCGGTAGGCCCAAGGCCGACCAAAGCCAGGTTGTTAATTGTGGCCCATCCAGAAAAAAGAAGGGGGAACGAAAAAAAAGAAACGACGCCTGAGAGATTCGAACTCTCGCGGGGAAACCCCATGTACTTAGCAGGCACACGCCTTAACCACTCGGCCAAAGCGTCGCTTGGTGACCATCCTTCGAACGGAACTCTCTCAAACACATGCGACTACGCAAAGCACATGAGAGAGACAAATTGGTTGGAGAAAACCAAATGTAAGCATACAAGTTGTCAACATCTGGAACCAAATGTACTCCTTACTCTCCTAACAACCTGCTACCTTTGGGCTTTGGGCAGTACTGTCCCATAAAGGCATATCAATAACCAAGTCTCTCTCAGGTCACTTGCACAAGGAAATTGCCGTGCGGACGATCTTTCATGCACGATTTGTGCACAACACGTTTCTGAAGCCACCCAATTTTCTTAGTAAAGGCAATCCTAAACCATGGATTCCGAGCACTAGTGCACTTTCCAAGCATCCATTCACGGATTCCAACCATTGTTAACAAAAATCGAACAGCTTTTTACTAGTCGCTTGTCCATATGCGCCATCGGTCCATATTAGCTTTGGTGCATATTTTGAAATATATCTGTCATTTGAACTGTCTGGAAGAGCTCAACCATTAGGGAAGTCAAATATCTACAAGAACTTGAATCTGTACACTCTATTCAAGAGATACACACATTTTTTTAGTGTAGTGCAATTCGTGTTGAAGAGGACATAAGAGCAACTCCGTTAGCTGGAAAATGCCCTTTGGTTCCTGGGTGTATGTACACCCGATATAGAGAAAACTAATAATTATAAAAGTAAAAAAAATGTTCATAAGTTTTTTTTCAATAAGGTTGACTTTCTTTTGCACTAGCATATAATTTTTTGAATAAAAAACAACGTGACTTCATGGAAAAAATAGTAATTTATTGCTATATACAAGTCACCATTCACACTTTTTTAACCTCATTTTTTCGTTCTTAAGTCAACGATTTTTTTTTCTTTCGTGGGAACTTTTTTACGAGTACAATGAAAGGTCAAGTTTATTATTAAAAATTTCAGATTTTTTTGACTTCTTATGTAACTATTTTTTTCATGTATATACACCCAAGAACCAAGCGTTCCTTTCCTCCAATAGCTGCCTTATTTTCAGGGCAAGACAAAAAAACATCCAACAACAGCCCAACCACATTTTTTTTTGCATTTTTTGGGCAGCCCTAAAATGAGGCACCAAGTGTTGTATATTTTGCAACACGCGTGACTAGTTGTGGCCCCTCCGCCCGCCTGCCGAGTACTGAATCCAGGAGCGAAGTTCACCTCCACAATTCTTGCTTCAATCTTTCCCTTGTAAGATGGCTCTTGCGTGTTCGGTTCCACACACAGCTCACCCAACCTCCTCGAGTGACCGTAGTTCTTGTCGGGCCTAGCTCGCCAACCTATCTAGCTTTGCTTTCATCAAAGCAACCGAGCTGGCCACCTCCCAACTGTTCCATGTACGCTCGACCATGGGTACAAAGTCATGATGGGTTCCCAACATATTTTGAAAATGAAATGGCTTGTCCACAACTATCCTCCTGTTTGAAGCTTCAACTTCATTACATAGCACAATAGGGCAGTGGTCCTATTTTGCAGCCAGCAAGTGACATAGTGACGCAAAGGGAAACATAGGACTCCAGCTGGCCATCACCAAAGGCCTGTCAAGCCCGACTCGACAGAATTGTTGTCCACTCACTCGTTTTTCAAAGGTCCAATCAACACGAATGTATTCGAGATCATCGAGTCCCCATAGATCCACTGCCTCCCTAAATCCCGCCATCTGATCCACATCTCTCAAATCAGGCCTCATTTGCTCCTCTCTCTAGTACCTCACTGAAATCTCAAGTACAAAGCCACATAAGTGTAGATTCACCCAGTAGTCGAGCCATCGTATCCCAAATCTGCTGCCGAAGGCTTCTGTTAGCCTAGCCATAGAAGCATGTCAATATCCATTCTGCCTTTCCTACTTCTAACACAACCACATCAGTATGGTATTTTGAAAAACTCTTGACCCGCAAATTAACTCATCCAGCCAGAGCACACCAATACCGCCGCTTCTACCCCCCACTACCCAGAACAAAACCATCATCAAAACCCCGTCGTCAAGCCCTCCACTCTCTGTTTTGACAATTGCGCCGGCCCACAAATAACTCTATTTTTGAGGGGACAGTCCACAAATAACTAAGGAGCGGGTTTGGACCGTGACCTTGCAGCTGTTTTTTTTCTTTTTGAGGGGTGATCTCGCAGTTTTTTTTTTGAGGCATGATCTCGGCTTCGGCCTTTTTTTCCCAAGGAAAAACTGTCCAGAAAGCCCAAGTAAAAAAAACAAGGCCCACCTCATGCTACCCGTGTCTTCGGAACGCCTTCCGGGCCGCTCGGTGCGCGCAGGCGCCGACAAAGAAACAGCGGAACGAAGCCCACAGGCCCGCGAGAACCCTAGCGAAGAAGCCCCTCCTCCCCTCTCTCTATCCGGCCGCACCCTCGCCACCGCGCCTCCCCTCCCCAAAACTTGGACCCGCCTCCTCGCCGCCACCGCCGCTCCCGTCCGTCCGTCCTCGCCGCCCCTCCGCCGTCCCCCCGGGTTTCCAGGTACGAGGTCCTCCCCATCCATCCCTTAGCCCAGTCCCGCCTCCTCCATCCCGAGGGACGACGCTACTGCTGAAACCTAGGGTTTTCTCGCCGTGTACAGATCTCTCACTGCCGCCGCTGATTCGGTCTGTTCCGTGCGCAGGTCGCCGGCCTTCGCCCCGTCAGCCAGCCGTCGCGTCCATGGCGGAGGTAGCGCCCGTCGATGTAAGAATCCAGCGGCTCTCGCAACTTATTAGAGCCACATGCCTTCTCATACGCCGCAGCAGCTTACTGACACGGTCGTTGGTTCCGTCTTTGTGTTGCTTGCAGCAGGGGAAGAAGGAGGAGGAGGAGTTCAGCACGGGGCCGCTGTCCATTCTCATGCTCAGCGTCAAGAACAACACCCAGGTTGGTTTGGTTTGGTCGACTTCTTGCCTCTATTGGTTGAGATCCCAGCTTAGCAAGGGCAGATTTTCTGTAGTAGTAGTACTTACTGACTTACTGTCTGTCTGCATATCTGTTTTAACCGAGCACCTGCCCTTCTGGGGAGCTGGTGTTCTCCGTAGTGCGTGCACTTGCTAAAGAAATCAAACGGCTTAGTTGCCTGTGCTCCTGTCGTGCAAGCGAACACTAGTTTCCCTCTTAGTGCTACAATGCTAAGCGCACCATCGCGTAAATGTGTGAGTAATTGACCATTGTTTTGGTGCAGCCTTTCCTGAAATGCCTTTGGTGGTAATAGTGTGGCACTGCAAAGTTGAATGCACCATTGCGTACATGAGAATTTAACTACTGCAAAATTGAATTCACAATCGTGTAATAACTAGTAAGGGCCTGTTCGGCTTTCCACCGGCTCCGTGGAATTACAGAATCTGCAGAGCACCTAATTTCCAGCTCCACTATTTTATCCCTGCAGCTTCGCCAGCTCCGCGAGCTGAGTCTGGAGCGGAGTAGCTCCAAACACTCCCTAAATACGATGGTTTCTCTGCATCCTTTTGTCAATCAATTGCCCTTTGTGACAGGATTGTCCTCTTTGTGCTGCAAAGTTAAACGCAATAACGTGTAATGTGTGAGTAATTAACCATCTCGTTGTCGCAGATTTTAGCTCGCTTGATGTGACTATGATTGCAAGTAAACTGATTATTTTCTTCTACTCCGTAACAAATATGGAAAAACTAGATTTCTATGCGACTGCACTTGCACTGACCTTAGTCTATTTGCAGACTTCCATCAATTGCCTTTGGTAATAGTGCTGCTCTCTTAGTACTGCAAAGTTCAATGCATCTTCATGTAATACTCCCGCTGTTCCTAAATATTTGTCTTTTTAGAGATTTCAAATGGACTACCACATATGAATGTATATAGACATATTTTAGAGACTAGATTCACTCATTTTGCTCCGTATGTAGTCACTTGTTGAAATCCCTAGAAAGACAAATATTTAGGAACGGAGGGAGTATATGAGTAAATACTATAGTTTACATGCAGCCTTTCCTCAACCAACCACCTTTGGTAATAGTGTTCCCCTCTTAATGCTGCAAAGTTAAATGCACTAACACAGATATGAGTATTTAGATTTTAGCTTGCCTGATGTGATTATGATGTAAACTGCAAGTGCACTGATTATTTTTTCTACTGGCAACAAATACGGGAAAAGTAGACATCTAAGTGACTGCACTTGCACTGACCATAGATGAGTAATTAACCATAGTTTTGGTGCAGCTTTTGGTGAGATGCCTTTGTTAATGTGTAGTACTGCAAAGTTAAAAGCACCATCGTGTATATAAGTAGTTATTAAGTATGAACTGTAGTTTCTGTGCAGCCTCTCATCAGTTGCCCTTGTAATAGTGCTGCTATCTTAATACTGAGAAGTTGAATTCAGAATCGTGTAATAATGAGTAAATACCATAGTTTCTCTGCTCCTTTTTGTCGGTCAATTGCCCTCTGTAACATTGACACCCTCTTGGTACTGCAACGTTAAATGCATCAAGGTGTAATGTATCAGTAACCAACCATCTTGTTGTCACAGATTTTAGCTTGCTTTGTTTGCTTATGATGTAAATTGCAATAAACTGGTTTCTTTCTTCTACTTGGTAACAAATATGGGGAGAAGTAGATCTCTAGGTGACTGCACTTGCACCGACTGTAGCCTGTAGGTGATGTTTTCCATGTTACAAGTTGTTCTAATGATGTATCCTCTCTTCTGCCTTAGGTGCTTATCAACTGCAGGAACAACAAGAAGTTGCTTGGTCGCGTGAGGGCATTTGATCGTCATTGCAACATGGTTCTTGAGAATGTCAGGGAGATGTGGACTGAGGTATGCGGCACATTATCCCACCCGCTAAATGCACCGTTTCCTTGTCTTGTCTTGTATTGCTGCGTGCACTAACATCCATTCCGCCCGTTACAGGTTCCAAAGACTGGTAAAGGCAAGAAGAAGGCTCTCCCGGTGAACAAGGACAGGTTCATAAGCAAGATGTTCCTCCGCGGGGATTCGGTCATCATCGTCCTCAGGAACCCGAAATGAGTTTGACGACTCGGCGTAAACCAGAAGAGTCTCTTTTCGCTATGCTGCTGTTAGTTTGTATGCCGAATGCTCTGGATCAGGGAGTGTGTAAGACAGTTATCAAGCAAGCATTGCCTGTACTGATTAATGGTTTGGTGCTGTGGTCTGGATGTTACGAATTCACATCTTTTGTAGTATCTAATCTAACAACGTGCACTGGTAGCCTCTGTTCGGATCATCAATATGTCTGCTGAAGAGAGTTTTCAGTTTCAGAATGTTTTGTTTGTGTTCCATTGAGTTTGTGAATCGGTAGTTGCCCATTCCGTCGTATTGTGATACTCCCTCCGTTCCAAAATAGATGACTCAACTTTGTACTAGTTGTTCATGTCATATTGTAGTGCAATCCATTTGCCTGGTACCTTTTTGATGTCAAATACCGAGGGCTCCTTCGATTCACAGGATTTGCATCCTTGGGGATATTTTTCAGTTTAAATCAGGAGTCATTTGCACTATATTTTGGAGAAGCATTTTCATCCACTCAAACCGTGGAGTTCGTTCGCCTTTGTTGTGGTATCAAACACTCTTCTGCACAAATTTCTCTTACAGGTTACATGAGTAATTTTGTGTTTTACCTTTTTCTATGAATCAATGAGGCCGTATAATCTAAGGAGGAACTTTTTTCACATTATCAGATCTAAGATGTTTTCAAAAATGGAAAAGAAATCGAGGCCATAAAAAATATGGCTTAAACAGTGAAGCAAGGAATCAATGCATAGAGTTTGCTATGTATAGGCCAAATGCACGCAACCAGTCATCCAAGGGTCCATAGCTCAGTGGTAGAGCAATTGACTGCAGATCAATAGGTCACCGGTTCGAACCCGGTTGGGCCCTTCCGTTCCCCCTTTTCTTTTTGCCTTTTTTTTTTCAAAGTTTGCCACGTTATTAGACCATATTATTATTAATTATATCCAAATATGTAGTTCCCAGTGGATATACGGGACAAAACATGAGGGGCCCAATTCCCAATGGACATACAGGAAAAAACATGGAACAAATCTTGTCAACGCAAAACAAAAGGAGACACCTGAAATCAATGGAGGCAGATGATGAGACTAATGACCATGCATTGATGAGATGAGGGCCTCATTCGTTCGTTCATACATCTTGATTCAGCAGCCAGCAAAGAAAGAGAAGGAAAGAGCAATGCAGATTAGGTGAGGAACTAGTGATTGATTGACTCCTTCCATCAAGGGAGGAGGATGTTGGTGCTGACGCTGCAGGATTGGAATTCACACAAGACATAGCTTAAGATAAGACATGAACGATGGCTCATGTCGATCGTGTGTCATCATTCTGCAACTGAAACTAATGCACTCACTCATTGTTGGGTGGTATCACGTGGGTGAGAGTAAACCACCAAGTAAAACAAAAACGCTTTCAGTTGTGATCGACGAAAACAATCATGTTTTTGATAAAAAGGGGGAGATTTTATCGAGCCTGCTAACGTTGGACCGATCCGAAACAAACATAACGAGTTCATGCCACACATGAGTAAGCAGCAACAACACGTAGGTATGTACGAGCACAACAATCAAATACCTAGGTCATTTTTGCCAATATAAGAAAGCACTCCCTTTGTTCCAAAATACTTGTCGTGGCTGAACTAAACCACAACAAGTATTTTGGAACGGAGAGAGTTTAAGCTTTTGGAATCCTACAATCTTTTCATCTAACTATTATTCGAAGGTTGATGAATCAAATTGGACTCTTGAAAATTTAGCTTCAATGTAGTTAATGATTGCATTTGGTCCCATCAAGTGCATAGTATTCTAGTATATCCCCCACACCCACCTATATTCCTTCGGTTGCATTACATTTACGAGACATATGCATTCACGGAACTTTTGTTTTTCTATGTAGCTAATTAAGTACTTTGAGAAACAAACATATCAAATTACATATGTTTCTTCTTTTTAATGTTGTACATCATTAACAACAATAATAATTGTATTACTATGAGAAATATGAACAATTTTTTGATGTGATTATGTCACTTGCAATGTCAACTCTATGCATCAAATAATTGTAACATATAATGGTTTCAATGTCTAAAATATGATTATTTATAAGGATGCTAAAAAACATGTATTTCATTCCATGTATCAGGTTGGAATGAACTTTTGTTCTGTGACTGTACAGAACACGACCACCTTGTTTTCAAGGAAAGTTACCCCCAATTTCCCCCTTACCTTTGTTTGCATCTTTAGGCCTCTAGTATGTACAAGAGAAATGAAGAAGACATAGAGCCAAATAAAAGCCTGCCTCCTAGTATTTAACCAAAAATTTCGCATTTGTTTTGCCATTAGACAAAAAAAAGTACAATTGCACAATTTTGAAAATGACCAATCAATTAAATATATTGCAATTGCAGAATGTATATAATGAACCACTGGTTATATGCAAAAGAATCCAATTGCACTATTTTTGTATAATTTTAAAAATAATACCAACTAACACTATACATATTTTAAAATAAATAAAGTTTTTTTACATATATGTTTTTTAATATAAAAACCCTTTCCAAGAATAAATACAAACACAAGTACCACGCAACAACACTCTAATCTTTTCACCACTATCAAAACACTGAATTAAGGAGAACTGAATGTAGGCCAGATGGTTAGGTTCCGTACAGAGGAACTAGCCCACCATGGCTCACGTCTGGTGCCCTCATTTTTTTGGATTTATTTCAGACTTTTCGGTGATGATCGTTCAGTAAGAGGAGCCGTTCCTGTCAACTATGAGCTGTCAGTGGTGATTTCGTCAATTTCAAGATGTTGTGTCGGCTGAGTATCTCAAAGATGCTCATAAGGATAGGGTGTGCGTGCATACATCATAGGGGTGAGTGTACATGAGCATTTGCGATTATACTATGTTAAAAGCACATTGAATTAAGGAATTATTTCCAAAATTATTTTCAGAAGAGGGTCCATAGCTTATTGATAGAGCAATTGACTCCAGATCAATAGGTCACCGGTTCGAACCCGGTTGGGCCCTTTGCCTTCTCTTTTGAAAGTTTGCCCCACTTTAGACCTTACTAATTATTTAATTATATCCAAACATGTGGTCCCAGTTCCAAATGGATGTACAAGAGAAAATATGGATCCAGTTTTGCCAACACAAAACAGAAGGAGACACCTGAAATCAATGGAGCTACTAAGATAGGCAGATGATGAGACCAATGACCATGCATTGATGAGGTAATGGCTTCATTCATTTATTCGTTCATACATCTGATTTAGCAGCTAGCATGAATGATAACCTTAACAGTAGTAAACTGTACGAGCAAAGAAAGAGAGAAAGAAATGTTGCAGATTAGGTGAGGAACTAGTGATTGACTCCTTGCATCAAGGGAGGAGGATGTTGGTGCTGATGCTGCAGGATTTCACACAAGACATAGCTTAAGATAAGACATGAATGATGGCTCATGTCGATCATGTGTAATCATTCTGCAACTGAAACTAATGCACTGACAAACTCACAGGTGGGTGGTATCACGTGGGTGCACTAGTAGAAAACAGGGCTACCATTCGGCCCTGGCCAGCCCATTAGTCCCGGTTCTTCAAGAACCGGGACCAATGGGGGGTATTAGACCCGGTTTGTGAGCCCAGGGGGCCGGCCGGGCCCTCGTGGGCATTGGTCCCGGTTTGTGTGGAACCATTTGTCCCGGTTCGAGCCACGAACCGGGACCAATGGTCCTCGCTGCTGGCCCACAACCATTGGTCCCGGTTCGTGGTTTGAACCGGGACAGAAGGGGTGGCTTTAGTTCCGGTTCATGCCACGAACCGGGACAAATAACTTGCCTACATATACCCACCGCCGCGGCAGAGCACTCCACAGTGCTCTGTTTTTGTCAAGCCGGCGAGGGAAGGGCATTTGGATGCTCTAGTTCACCTCCTATGCACATGAGGTGTTCGATGAAATGCCTGAGCCACACTAGTTAAGCTTTCTCCTCTCGAAACTGGACCTCCGAGCTCCATTTTCAACGAGATTTGACTAGATTTAGCGGTCCGTCCCGCCCTGTCCCCGCCCCGTCTTCACCGCCGTCGATCACCCGCGTCGATCTCGTCGCCGGCACCACCGTGGTGAGCCTCTTGTTCTTATCTTCTTTTCTGAAAGAAAAAAAATTCTGACTTCAGATAGATACTTGTCTAATTTTCTTACTTTTATTATTCCTTGTTATTATATAGTGCGATGGTTTTGGTATCGGCCCCCCTCGGCCCTCGTCCTGTCTATGATTCAGATGTGGTATATATTATCTTTTCATAACTATTTGGTTCATTTATTGTTTATGACAATTATGCCGACCAATGTGACATAGATTTTATTTATCTAGGAGGTTGTTGAACCGGAAATTCCAACCGACCCTATTGTCGAGAGGTTAAATTTAGTTGAAGAAGAGAATAATTACTTGAAGGAAAAAATAAGAAAAATTGAGGAGGAGAAGATGATATTAGAGTTGCATGTTGCGGGTGTCGTCGATGATCACAAGATCAAGATGGATGCAATGCGGTTGAAGATTAAAAAGATTAGAAAATATGCCATTCATACTGAGGCTTGGTATCATTATGCAGTTGGATCATTTGTTATCTTGGTTGCGGTTATGATCGCATTTGTTTTTTGCATTGAAATGTTTTACATAATTTCAGTGTATGGTTTAATTAGATGCTCTAGAGAGCTATATGTTGTTCAATGAGAACTATGCATCTACTGTGGTTTTAATGCTCTGGAGAACTATGTATGTACTTTGGTTTCAGAGTTAATTTCAAATGCTTTTCAATTTCATGGTCTTACAGCTTTGAATGGTGCATTTTGAACACAGAAAAACAAGGGAGTTCAAATAAGTTCAAAAAAAATTGAAATCCCTTTGTAACAGACGAGTTTCCGTATGAAACCCTGATACTTCGAAGGAGATTGTCCGTTTTGTACACGAAGTGCATCCAGTTTTTGCCGTAAGTCTC